CCACTGTTCACTTCAAAAGGCAAGAGGTCACTCCTTTCCTAGCAACTTGAAAAGGAAACTTACCTTCACATATTTCCGGAAGAATTTTCTTGCCCCCAGGAGAAGATTTCAGAAAGTAGAAAGAGGGTGGTCAAAATAAGTAAAAGGAGACAATATCCAGAAGACTGGATAAAACTCACCGAAATTTCACCAACCTTTAGTACTTGACCCATAGAGCTAGAAAGGACCAGAGAGGTTATTTAGGCCAACCTCCTTGTTTTACATATGAAAGAACTAAGGCCCTTGGCCAAGGTCACACGGCTGGTAGGTAGTGGATCGCAGATTTAAGCCCAGGTTTCTTTCTGACTCTTAAGTCTGCTCTTTCTGCTATACCATGTTGTATTTGTGAAGCTCAGGTCATATAGGGAAGAGTCAGATAAATAGAATCAAACACAGTGCTTACAGTCTAGCAAATACCACAACATAAGTTATGTAAGGGTAAAGGACAGGTCCATAGTGCTATGAGTGATAACGTCTGATTGAGATCAGAGAAGACTTCATAGAGGAGGTGGCATTGGAACTGAACCTTCAGAGATGATAGGATTTCAGCAAGCAGAGACTAGGATGGGAGGGATTTGGAAGGAAATTGGGGGAAAGGGCATTCTTCTCATAGGAAACAACCAATGCACTGCCTTGGAAAGAAGGTAGGTGTGGGGGAGTCCAGGAGCAGTGTATACTTCTGTGTGGTAGGATCACAGAGTATGTGAATACAAATGATGCCTTGATTTTGATCCTCCAGTTTTGCAACCACATATTCTAGACCCTCTTCTACATTAGAAAGTGTGCCCTTCTAACCTGTCCTTAGAAACCGGATTGTTGAGCTAGATATGCCCCAAGTATTACTCTAACTCTTCCTTTTCTTAAGATTCAAGAAGAATCTCAGCTGTACTTAAAACCCTTGATAGATATATTTTACATGAGTAAATGGCACCTACTTCCCTACATGGCCCTTTTGTGGCAGCAAAGAATTGGAAACATTCTCGATTCTAAGAATGGCTAGACAAATTGTGGTATGTAGACATAATGTAATATTACTATGTCATAGCAAAAAAGAAAGTGAAGAATTCAGAGGAGGCATGGGAAGACTTATGTGAACTGATGCAGAGTAAAGTCAGCAGGACCAGGAAAACAGTGTCCAGAATGACTGCAACAGTATAAATAGGAATGAATAAAAAAAACAACAGCAACCACTTAAAAAGAATGACCGAGTGTTTAACTGAAAAAGAAAGGAAATGCAGAGGCCAGGCTGCTATCACATTCATTTGAGATGCTGGCTAGTTTTGCTGAAGTTTTTTTTTTCCCCCTGAATTACATGTTATAAGGAATCGCTTCTACATAGGGACCTATTTGGAAATGAAGGTGATATGAACAAAAGATGGCAATGAAAATACAAAATTAAACAGGAAGTCCCGCTAAACATGAATGAATGAAAACTGTAATCAGAACCCTAGGATTATCACTTGACTGTGACCTTGAATAAGTCATTTAAACTCATTAATTCCTCCAACATTTATTAAATAATTGCTGTTTGCAGCAAATTGTGCTTAGCACCAAGTGAGATACAAAATTTAGATAAGACAGTCTTTGCCTTCATGAAGTTCACCATCTTAGTGAGATAGAACGTAAAGTTAACCATACTATGTAACATTACACAGTAAGCATATTAGTTGCAGATCAAAGGGCTCTATATAGATCAGGACTGGAATTCATCACTACCTAGGGGATTAGTGAAAGACTGATGAAATGTTTATTTGAGTTCAGCATTAAAGGATTTCAACAGATGAAGAGGAGGAGGAAGGGCATTCCAGGCATAGGAACCAACATCGTAGCATGCCACATTCCTGGGGAAGAGGGTGAACAGCTTGACATGGAGCCACCTCAGAGTAAAACTGAGGTAAAGGTGGAAAAGGGAGGGTGGTAACAGATCATGAGGGGCTTTGAGCGCTGGGCACAAATCTTCAAGGGAAAAGTCTTGATTTTGCCAGGCAATAGGAAGTACATAGTAAGTACTTAATAAATGCTTGTCCACTAACTGACAAGTGAAGGGTTAGGAGTAAAGAGTAATATGCTCAGATCTATGTATGAGAAAATTACCTGGTAAGAGTAATGAAAGACGATAGAGGACATGGGAAGACCTGTTAGCAGGGTCCTCCAATTGTCCAGGCTAATGATAATGAGGTCTGTTGTCAGTGGAAATACAGAGGAGCGGACATGTGCTGTGCCTTTATAAAAACGCAAGGCATTGTTAATAGGGAATTACTTCCATTTAACACTTATTTTCTTTGAATGAATGAATTTAGATAAGTATAATTCTACTTGAATCTCCACCTAGGGGCCAAACCTTAGTTCATAGCAAACACCCAGAAATTCACACCTTCTTCCAGCCTTGTAGTTAGCACTAACACCCCGGCTCTCCCTTGCCTTAGGCAGGCTTTGACCTTGAAGTCATTGGTAGGATTCCCAGATTGTTGTTTTAAATCTCCATTCACCTGTGTGTCTGCAAGTTGTCTGTAAGCCTATGTCTCCTGGGATTCATTCTTGTCCATTCACTAATCACTATCCAGACTATTCCTTATACCTTGCTTTTCCCCCAAGCCTGGAGCTCTGTTCTCATTTATCAGGCAAATCGCTTGCCTCCCTCTCTCTGATTCCTCCCTCCCACCCATCCCCCACTCTTAGTCATTAGGGTTTTGGACGGCGGGGTGACATGCTGGAAAGATGCCATAGCCTTTCACCTTTGGAACCCTGGGTTCAGATCCATTTTAGGCACAATTGAAAATGGTTGTGATGATCTCATCTCACTGAAGCGCCTTGCAATCTGCTGTAATTGGTCTGACTGTCCCCTGGGGGCCTGCTGGTCAAGGCTGAGGTGTATTGAAAGAGCAGTTTGGGACCCTGGCAAGGCTGACACCTGGTTCAGGCCAGCGTAAACAGACCCATAAGTCTCCCTCATTTCTTTCTTCTGCCAGAAAGGGAGGGGGTAGATATGGGGGAGGAGGCCAAAAAACCGGGGCAGGAAAGAAGTAGAGGGTGCAGGGAAGAGGCTAAGGAAAAGGGGATCAGGGGAGAAGAGAAAGGAGAGTTGGGGCAGGGGTGGAAGAAGGTTGGAAAGGGTTGGGACTGGGAGTGGAGACTGAGGAGGAAGGAGGGAGGGTTGGAGAGGGAGCAGAGGGACAGTTGTTAGTGGAGAGAGGGAAAAAGGAAATTGAAAAACTAACCAGTTATGTCTGCCCTCTACCAGTCTTCTCGGTTGGCCCCAGGAACACAGTCCATTCTCCCCTCCTTTGAGTAAGACATTCTCTGCCTGCCCTCCCCAGTTGACGCTTACCTCACCCAACTCTAGGAAATTTGGTGGAGAAAAATGCCACATATCCTAAGCCCAGTTAACAATGACAGTAGCTGTCCTTAAAGAGATACTAGGCTTGGGGTTGAAGGGAGTGGGGCAGGAAAACCTTTTTCTGCTTTCTCTGTCACTTGATTTTTAAATGAGGCTCTGCTGACTGCTCTCCCTGTTTTCCATAAGACTCCTTAGGAAATCCTGAGGGGCTTGGAGACTGAGAGTGTACATCTTGCCTATGGGTGGGAGGGGGAGATAGCTAAAGATAGCAAGCCTGTGTGTCTGTTTTATGTGCATGTATAAATAGGTTATACATGGAGAGAGACAGAGGATAAAAACAGATGGAAGACTAAGCCTGGAAATGTGCCCATCACTCTTAAATCAGACTGTACAGCTTGAGAGTGAGTTGTACAGTAGCAGGAGGAAACAGCAGAAATTTTCATTCACAAGCTCTGGTAACTACTCAGAAGAAATGGAAACAAACACATCAATATGGTCTTTCCCATAATGTGTTTGCATTTGTTCCAGAAACACTTCCAAAGAAAGTGAGCTAACCAGATTCTGATTTATTTTTAGGAAGATTTTAGTGGAAGACGGGAGGGCTGAAGGAACTGACATGAAGTGTGTGACCAGATGACATTTGGGTCTCTTGGCAGGGCATTGGACTAGAATTCAGGAGACTTGGGTTCTAGTCATTAAATATGCATTGAGTCACCTTGGCCTTGGAGAAGAAACAACCTCTCTCCTTCCTCTGTAGAAGTGGGGGACTGTGGTTGTGATTTTGCATATACTGACCAATTCATTTGATGTCTTGGTTAGTTTTGCTGAACTGCATTTTTTCTTTCTTTTTTTTTTTCTAAAAGATGACTCATTGAGGCAGAGGGAGTATATTAGAAAATAAAGGTGATCTAAAAACAGAATCTCAATAAATATTTTAATGTATTTATTCAGTCCTGCTATATGCCGTTCAGTGGGCATAGGAATCACTGTGGGGGTTAAAGAAGTATTAGATACAATCCCTGCCCTCAGGGAGCTTACAGTCTGCTGGGGGAAACAGAATAGATACACATATCTAAAGATAACTAACAGGACAAGACAGTATTTACCAAGGACCAAATGAAATGAACATTAAGCAAGATGGTTCTGAGAGCCAGTAGACTTGGAATCAGGAGATCTGGGCTCAAATCCCACCTTAGATTTTTGTTAGCTGACTTCATGGCTGTGGGTGCTCCTTCTACCCAGACATTTGTAACCCAGTTCACTGATTATTAGCAGCACTGTTTCATGGATTCATATGGCTACAGAACCCATCACCAGGCAGCCAGCTTCCTGAAGATGAGCCTCTCTGAAAACTAGTCTATTTTTCAGACAACAAAAAACTCAGTTTCTCTAACTATAAAACCAGTTCTCCCCTGTGTTTAAGGTTTGCAAAGCACTTTCTTTACAGTGGCGGTTATAAGGTCATCCATCACAGGACATGCTAGACATCACAGGACTTCTACACCTTGGCTGGACCGGACCAGAGCTTGGGCCCCTACTTACACAGTGTTAAAATGGAACTTTCATGAGGTTTTCTGAGGATGATTATTATTGCTAATAAATCTGCTTCTGTTCCCATCTTTAGGGCCATCCATTTATCATGCAGTACAACGATGGGAATGCTGAAGTGGTCTCCATGTGGGTGTGCAGGATGCTGGAGGAGAGACGGACCCAGCAGGGGCCTCAGTGAACAGGGATATCCTAGAAAGCAGCCGCAGAAGGGAAATCCTGCTGCTGGTTTTTAGAAAAAGAAACCTGCAACCTATCGTATTGTCATTATGTTCACTACATAGCGTTGTTTCCAAGCACCAGAAGAGCCTGGGTGAGCGTGTGCACCTTCCAACTCAGAGGGAATTCATCAGAATTCCCTGTTGCCTTCTTTGCTGTCTCACTGACTAACCTGCAGGGACCTGGATCCCCGGGACACAGCCTACAGCCAGAAGTCAGCCATTTGGGCTGCTGAATGTGTCCGTTTCAGCCCTATGAAATTACTGAACCTGAATCTTTTGCTATCAGAATGACGAAGTGATGGGCCCAGGGAGCCTGGATACTTCCGTTTCCTTTATGGCCTTTTCTGATATTTCTTGGCTTTATTGTATTTTTTTAAATGGGAAAAGAGTTGGGGGAGGAGAAGGGATGGGAACTTCCGGAGAGAGGAAAGCTTCAGTGTGTCATGTAACGACAATAAAAGCATTACAACTATGTAACCACATCATTTAAGTTTTGTTTTCTGTCATCTATCCCAAGCATGGATGAGTCTGGGCATATGAAAAAACTTAGAAAACTTAGAAAAAGAACTTTAGGTCAATCAACCAAGTCCATAGGCATTTATTAAGCACTTAATATGTGCCAAGCATATTAGGTGCTTTGTATATTCACACAAAAGTGAGACCATTCCTGCCATTATAAAGGTTACATTCTACTTGGGATACAACACACCTAGGGATATGGTAGACACAGAAGGGAGCTTTAATCTAAGCATCTAGAGGGACTGTGGGTGGAGCCATAGGGCAATAGATTGCCATTTCCAGTTGCCATTTTTCCATTTGCATTGGTGGTATTGATTTGATGATTCAGAGCATTCAGAAGAGTAAATTGAACTTCGTGAGCTGAACCCTGGAGGGGTAGGGGTGGAGAGGGAGGGGGGAGGAGAGGGAAGGGTGGTGTCCTGGTGGATGACCAGATGGGATGCAAAGCATGGTATGGGTGCAGTTGTCTAGATTGGTTGAGGTATAAATATTACCTAGCTCTACCCCAATATTTAGCAGATGAGGAAAGAGAGCCCGGGAGAAGTTAAGTGATTTGCTCAAAGTCACCAGAGTTAGTTTGCAAAGGTAATCACCAAAGTCCAGCCTAGAACCCAAGCCTTCTGATTTTCATCTGTTGATCTTCCTACTAAGCCATATAGCTGTATTCAGCACACACACACACACACACACACAGATATACGATATAAACTGGAGAAGAAAACAGCAAACCGCCCCAATATCTTTGCCAAGAAAACCCCATGAATAGTATTGGCAGGCTGTGGTCCATGGGGTCATAAAGAGTCTGACATGACTGAACAACTGAACAACAACATGCAACATAAAGATGTATATACAAATATTTAAGAACATTCTGAGAAGGAATCCATAGGCTTCACCAGATCGCCAAAGAAGTCCATGACCCAAGAAAGCTTAATAATCCTTCATCTAAAGGATAGCCACAAAGAAGGAAGAATAGCAACTAAGACACCCCAAAATTTATATGAGATAAGATCCTAGAAAGGAGCCAGGAGGCAAAAAACAGTCAGTGTTCTGAAATGTGTATATACAAATGCCCCAAAGAAAGACTTGAGTTCCTAATGCAAGGAGGCACATTCAGTCTCTAGAATATGGAAATTTGATGGGATTTCATAAAGTTAAGGAGAAACAGGTTTAGTTTCATGCTTCTGGAAGGACAGTCCAAGAAGGATGGGAAATGTTCAAGAATGAAATTCTGAAGACAAAAAATGGAAAGAACTGTAATGGAGAGGGGGGGAAAATTAGGATTTGTTTGAAGAGACAGATGTAGATGCACAAGAAATTCACTAATCATCTTGGAGCTTAAAAAAGAAATGTACTAAAGATGGAAGAAAGACCAGGTTACAGAGGAGGACTGTAAGAGCATAGCACAGCCCTATCAAAATAGTGTTAGGAGTGGGGAAACTCAGACTAAGCCAAGGCAGTGAGAGAAACTAAAGAACGAAAAGATGGGCTTTGTTTGGTTGGTTATATTGGGAGAAAAGGGAGGAAGCAAAAAAAAAAGCCTAGGACTTTTATTTGGGGTGGATGAGACAATAATAGATGACGAAACAGAGAAGGCAAAACTGGTTCCATTCTTACTTTATTTCCATTCTCTCTTTATGTTAGAAATGAAGGGGGGAGGAGGGGAGGGAATAACTGGAAGTTGATACCCAAGATAAGTAAAGAGATAGTAAGGGAGCCCTGGCTGCTCTTGATAAAATCAAGTCAATTGGTCCAGGTGAACTATATCCTCAGGTCCCAAAAAAGTTGACAGATGTGATTGCTGAAAACTAGCAGTGATATCTGGAACATCATGGAAACTAGGAGAGACACCACGAGATTGGAGAATGACAGATGTCTCCCTTTTATTTTTTTTATTTTGAATTTATTTTGAATTATCAACAATCACTTCCATAAGCTTTTGAGTTTTAAATTATTCTCCCCCTCCCCTCCCCACCTCACTCCCCAAGACTGCGCTCAATCTGATATAGACTATACATATATATTCGTATTAAACATATTTTCACATTAGTCATGTTGTAAGGAAGAATTAGAACCAACAGGAGGAACCACCAGAAAGAGGAAACAAAACACAACAAGCAGAAAAAAAAACAGCAAATAGTATGCTTTGGTCTGCATTCAAACTCCGTACTTCTTTCTTTGGATGTGGATAGCATTTTCCATCATGAAGCCTTTGGAGATGTCTTAGATCTTTGTATTGCTGACAAGGGTTAAGTCTATCAATATCAGTCATCACACAACGTTCTCCTGGTTCTGCTCATTTCACTTCAGCATTAGACCATACAAGTCTTTCTAGGTTTTTCTGAAGTCAGCCTGTTCATCATTTCTTATAGCACAATAGTATTCCTTTACATTCGTATATCACAACTTGTTCTGCCATTCCCCAATTGATGGGCATCCTTTCAATTTCCAATTCTTTGCCACCACAAAAAGAGCTGCTATAGCTATTTTTGTACATGTAGGTCCTTTTCTCATTTGTGTGATCTCTCTGGGATATAGCCCTAGAAGTGCTATTGCCGGGTCAAAGGGTAGGCAAAATGTCTCCATTTTCAAAACTGGAAAGAAAATAGTCTACAAACTCTAGATGAGTGAGCTTGACTTAAATTCCTAGGTACATCCTGGAATAAATAAAGAGATGATTAGCAAACATCTAGAAAGTGATTACAAAGAGCTAGCTAGCATGATTTCATTTAGAACAAGTCCTGCCACCAATGATGAAGCATGTTACCCCATCAGCTGACAGAGAGGGGAGGGACTCAAGGGACAGATCGGGATATACATTTTCAGACCTTGCCAATATGTGGACTTGTTGTTTTACTTGATTATGCTTATTTGATATCAAAAAGGGTTGGGGTTTTTTTTTAATTTGGGTGGGGGATCTTGGAAGGTGAAGAAGTTGTAGGGATGTGTGTCCTCCCTAAAAAATAGAAAAAAGAAAGAGGGTCATTATAGCATTTTTTTAAGCACCAAAGAAAACAAAGAAGGTTCAGAAAGAAACAGACAAATAGGACAGCTTTGAAACTAACATGTTCAATTTATTATAGTCTTTATAAAAATATAAGCTGTGTATAATAGAGAATCATGGTTACATGTACAATCCTCATTTTCTTTTTGGTGTCTATGGAAATGCTATATTTGATTGCATCTGTGAAATACAGAATAACAGAAAATGAAAAATTTTTTTTGAAAGAGCAAGTCATGACAGACTAACCTCATTTCCTTTTTTGACAGGATTACTAAATTAGTAGCTAAGGGGAATGTTGTGGATATAGCTTACCTAGATTTTAGCAGAGCTATTGATAATGTATAGCGATAGAGAGACGTGAAATCAATGGATTCAGAACTGGTTAGATGGCTGGCCTCAAGAGTAGTTGTTAATGATTCAATGTCAGTGTGACAGGAGGTGTCCAGCGGAGTACCCTAGGGAGCTCTGTTTAGCCCTGTGCTATTTAACATTTTTATCAATGACAGATGTAGATATAGATAGTATGTTCATCACAGTTGCAGATGACCCAAAGCTGGGAGGGACAGTTAACACAGTGGATGAGAGATTTAGGATCCAAAAGAGTCTTGATAGGGCTGAATCTAATGAGATGAAATTCACTGGGGGAAAATGAAAAGTCTTCTGCTTGGGTACCAAAAAAAACCCCAAACCTCACAAGTATGAGATGGGGAAGGGATAGACGGTCAACCATTGTTTGGTAAATGATCTAGGGGTCTTAGGAGACTGCAAGCTCAAAGTGAGTTATCAGTGTAATGTGGCAGCCAGAAAAGCTAATGGGATCTTGGGGAAATAGCCTTAGAAGTGCCTACTACAGTAACCAGGCAGGACTAATTGAAAGCAGTACCTGAAACAAGTAAAACTCTGAGGGTCTCAACGCAAACAAGGCTGATATTTTTGTCACCAAACCGTGTGAAGCCAGATCCCTGGGCTTCCCCAAATGTTCCTGATCTGGCCTGACCTGACTTGACCTTCCGTGAGTATCTGAACAGATTTCAGCATCTACCCTCCCTCCCTCTCCACTGTTGGGCCTCAGTTTCCCTTCCCTCCTTCTTTTCAGCTTGACAATTGCACTTCACTGTTCAATCCCGCAGTGTCTCTATCTGTTAAATGGAGGTTATCACATACAGAAGTGCTTGGTGATCACTGAGAAATACCTCAACTCATAAAAAGGAGAGGTGAGTAACAAATCTCTACTTGACTCCCTAAGTACTACACACTGGCCCATAGATTCTTTTTTTGGGGGGTTTTGGGGAGGCAATCGGTGTTAAGTGACTTGCCCAAGGTCACACAGCTAGTAAGTGTTTGAGGCCAGATTTGAACTTAGGTCCTCTGACTCTAAGGCCAATACTCTATATGCTGTACTATCTAGCTGCCCCTTGGCCCATAGATTTTTTTTCTTTTTTTAGTGAGGCAATCAGGGTGAAGTGACTTGCCCAGGGTCACACAGCTAGTGTCAAATGTCTGGGGCTGGATTTGAACTCAGGTCCTCCTGACTCCAAGGCCAGAGCTCTATCCACTGAACCACCTAGCTGCCCCAGCCCATAGATTCTCAATGTGGGTTCCATAAACTTTTTTCAAAATTTTGATAATTATTTCAACATAATTGTTTTGCTTTGTAATTTTATGTCTTTTAAAAAATTAAATTCATTTAAAAACATTATTGTGAGAAGTATCTATAGGCTTCACCAGACTGCCAAAGACGTCAGTGACAGAAAAAAAAAAGATTAAGAACTCCTGCCCTAGACCCTTGTCCTTTGAGATCTTGCCTAATCCATTGCTTTGAAAGGTACCAAAGTTATTGTAAAGTGACCTCCTTCTCCTTCAAGGATCCAACTTCCACAATAAAATTATTATTCTATTCAACTCAGCAAGCATTTTTAAACACCTACTATGCAGTGCACTGTTCAAGGCTGGGGATACAAA